CACAAAGAAATTTGGAGACTACAACGATCGAATTGCTTGTTTGATAAATCCTCAGAAGCACGGACATTGGAACCAATGTAGAGCGATCAACTTTAATTTGGATGCTAAAAGGACTGACATGGCGAAGCTGAGATGAGAACAGAAGAGATATTGATGTGATGCACATAAAACTAATAAAGAAACAAAACCATTTACCATTTACCTTCCATTTACGCTCGAAAAAGGTTTGGCTACAAGAAGAAAACAAATTGCTTTCATTTCTCTATCTGTCGTTCGTCTTTTAGACTAAAAATAGCCGCCAAATAAGCTTTAACAATGTCATTCTTTTACGAATTCTAATTCGTCTGTTTCTTTTATATGCCAAGTCCATTTCAGTATGCGTACGATATGGATTTCCACATCTTACTCTCTTTCATTGCTCTAAGTATATTTTGACTCTTTAATCCCCCCACCCTGCCATCCATCGACACAAACTCTTTAAGTGGGTCATTCACTGTCTTCTCCTTCCTTCTCTTGACTTCAGTATGACCTGTGAGTGTTATACTCTCTAGTCTTTCCACGTTATGCGTTTCAGAAGTTTCACCTATTTTTGAAAGATGTATGTATTGCCGATGATGTAATGAATAGCGGCTCAGAATAAGAAGTCAGAGAGCCGTGTTCGAATTCCAGTCGAGTTCGTTATATTCAATTATGCACTAATCTCTTCTCAGCAATGGGTTAAGTAGAGGGTTTTCTATCTAGAAAAATTATTGTTATCCTCAAAAAATAATTGTTAATGCACTAAAAAACGAAAACAAATTATTCCTCAGTCAGTAATGTGCCATACGTGATAGACACTTAGGTGATCATGTATCTTTCGATACTTGGCTGGGAGGCAGTTTTTTTTTTTCTGCAGTAGGTTGCCATTTTCTTTCTACGATCCAAGGCTATAGAACTCATTTCTGTCCAGCTGGGAGAAGAAGAAGAGGATTCATACATTTCCCAAGGGTATTAACACGTAAGTGAATGTAATGGATTCGACTGGAATTCGAACTTGGCTCTCCGATTCCTCAATCCGAGCCGCTATCCACTGCACCTTTTCTGACTACTGATATTAATTAGAATGACATTAATATACCCGATTCCTTTTGGGTGTTTTATGTCATGTATGTTGGTATTCACCAAAGTGTTATGAGTGATTCACTCATAGCAACAGAAATTAAAATTTGTGTTCATGGAGGGAAAAGCATACGTGAAATAAAATAAGACATACACAAATGACAGGAAAAGCATGATAAATTTTATGTTAATTTCATACAATTTATTTATATTTTTGTATGTATTGGTGTGTATATTTTTTTTTAGCTTACAATTGTTTTATTGTACACGTGTTGCCCATACCAATGTTCGTGGTGAAGAGATTGAATTTAACGCCTTTTGACAGAATGTCCGTATTTCCGGTAGGAACAGTTTTTGCTGCATGCCGGGAGTATTTTTATTATCTTTATTTTTTATTTAATTTATTTCAAACAAATTGTTTTATTTTATTTTCTATATAATTTTCATTATTATTATTATTTTATATTTATTTATTTATAATAAAAATATTCCTAAATCCTATGCGGAATTTCTGCGCCACATTTTCCATCATCGGTTACTACTCTACACAGGTAGTTGAATTTCTGTACCTGCTCGATATCCCCAATTTGTAGATCACACATTAGGCTGTGTCTTTTGCTGACAACCATGCGTTCTATCTTCGTAAAATTAATAATTAGGCTTTGATTTTCTTTACTACCTTACCTAAGTGACATTTCGGATTTCCTTCTAAGTTTGCTATCAACACAGTGTCATCCGTATATATTCTGTTGTTAAAATTAGAAAAGGGGACCGAGCGCCTATTTGATGCGATGGTTAACAAGCTTGCTTTAGCAGAGCCTTTCACTATTGTAAGATCGATTTTTAATAAGTGATTAAATAAGGTGTAACCTTGTACTAGACAAAAGTAATTATTAGAGTACAACGTCGTAAGAAAATAGTGATGTAATTTGGTAAGTTTTTACTGCTTTCTCGTTATCCTAACGTATTCTTCTTCTACTTGTAGAAGCGCTGGCGATCATGGCTCTCCACAATTTCCTGTTCTTTGTAGCTCTTAATAAACTGTGTCTTTTCGTATCTCTCCTAAACCTTGCACCACCATTTATTTACTCAATCTTGTGAGGGAGATTATGCGTTGTTTTCTTCTATTCCTCTTGCTTTCAATTTGCCCTGTGAATATCAAACTTTCCAAGTCGCCTTTCCTCACTATATTTCCTAAAAATGTAAATTCCCTCTTCCTGAAGTATAACCTTTTCGTTTCCATTTTCTTTAAAACTTCGTCGTTGGTCATATGTTCGGCTCATAGTATCCTCAGTATCCATCGATACAACCACATTTGCTTCAAGTCTGTTCTTAATTTGTGAGAAGATTGTCCAGCATTCACTGACATATAAGAGGATTAATATTACATAAAAGTTCAGTATTCTTTTCTAATGAAATCTTCCTGTTTCTTAATACTTTGCTTAGCTTTTGAAAGGCATAATACATTATCCTAATGCGCTTTCAGATTTCATTGTCACACTTTCCATCCTCTGTTAAAACACTTTAAATTTTTGTACTTCTATGATTTTGGTTGACAGTTTGCTTGTTTTTGTTTAGCGGCATATCAATACCTTTATGGGTCACTTAATGCCTAAATGTAATTTATTTTGTACTCAATTTTAATTTTTGGGGATAATATTGGTTTAATGAGACATGTCTTATTAATTAACCCATAGCTGGGCAGAGAAGCGGAGGGTTCATGCCTTTCTCAAGGGTATTTGCGCCTAAGTGAATATAACGAATACAACTTTGGTTTTGGTATTTAAATTGACATTAATTTACATGGAATAATTTTCGGAGCGTTCCCAGGAGAAAAATAATCATGCGTAGACTTTTGGTTCTAATTGACTGAAATAGTTCTAGAAAAGTATTAGTTTAATTTAGTAATAATGTGGCCATTATCATAACTCTGCCGAGAAAATATTACTCAGGGAATTGAATTTCTGTAGCGATCACGGCTCTCCACATCTCTTTTTCTTTTAATATCTGTTAACTGCCATCTCTTCTTAGGAAATACAATGAAATGATTTCCTGCTACTATTTACCCCATGGCTCTGCTGGGAATAAGTGGATTCATGCCTTTCTAAATAACATTGGTGTGAAGGTGAACAGAGCAGATTAGACGAGAATTTGAACTCGGTATGCCGATTCCACTTTCCTCGCTGAAGACCATTGCGTCACACACACACACCAATAGATATGAATAGACTTAAAAAAAATTAGATCAATAGATAGATAGATAGATATGAAAAGGATTGACATAGATAGATAGATAGATAGATAGACAGATAGATAGATATGAAAAAGAGTGACATAGATAGATAGATAGATAGATAGATAGATAGATAGATAGATAGATAGATAGATAGATAGATAGATAGATGAAAGGATTGATGAAAAGAGTGACATAGATAGATAGATAGATAGATAGATAGATAGATATGAAAAAGAGTGACATAGATAGATAGATAGATAGATAGATAGATAGATAGATAGATAGAAAAAGAGTGACATAGATAGATAGATAGATAGATAGATAGATAGATAGATATGAAAAAGAGTGACATAGATAGATAGATAGATAGATATGAAAAGGATTGACATAGATATGAAAAGGATTGACATAGATAGATATGAAAAGGATTGAAATAGATAGATAGATAGATAGATAGATAGATATGAAAAGGATTGACATAGATATGAAAAGGATTGAAATAGATAGATAGATAGATAGATAGATAGATAGATAGATAGATAGATAGATAGTGAGTGAGTGAGTGAGTGAGTGAGAGAGTGTGTGAGTTTATTATAACTGATGCAAGCGAAATCATTATTTGGCGCAATATGTTTGGTTCCTTTGTAGGAAATTGAAACCTTGAGGAGAGGGGGGATAAAAAATATGTTTCCTTCTTCGAGGAAATAAGGCTAAATGTAGAAACGGATTTTCATAATGGCGTAGAATGCAATAAAACCTGTGTTTGCTATTTTCGAGTATTAACCAAATTGAATGAAATAAAAATCAATACGAAATCGATTATTGGCCACATTGTCGTAATGTAATTGCAAGCAATGTCGTTTCTCAGTGTTGGATAGTTGAATGAAAACTACCTCCATTCCCACTATGATTTCATCTCCTGTTCGGCTACTTTTTTTAATTATTTCACCCCAAGCAAGGCGATAATGTCCCTAGGACGTAAGGGACTGCTGGGAGTGAAAGAGAAAAGAAGACTTTAAAAGGGAACGGAGATCCAATTCTAAAAAGGAAATATTAGAATTGTCTTAGCACGTGGAGTGGTCTTTTTGTGAGGAGAATTGATGTATGATATCACTTCCTGTCTACATTTCTGAGTTGACGTAATATGTATACTATTTACATTATTATTTACATTATTCGGATTATCGTCCTCATCTTTGTTGCCATATTTATTACAACATTTCGGCCTTTCAGTATCTGTCTGTAATAAATATGGCAACAAAGATGAGGACAATAGTCCGAATAATGTAAATAGTGTACATAATACCTCATCTTAGAAATATGGATAGATAGTGAAGGGCCAAAACTTTGTGATTAATATGGCGACAAAAATGAGGAAATAGTCCACATACTGTAAATAGTGTACATAATACCTCATATCATAAATATAAACAGATATTGAAGGGCCGAAACGTTATAATAAATATGGCGACAAAAATGAAAACAATAGTCCGAATAATGTAAATAGTGGATATCACTTCCTGTTGTAAAGAATATCCATTTGAGCTAGCGGCATGGAATTCATTTGAGTTAACTCGACAGAACTTTCTCGGGGTTCCTGAATCTGATTTAATAAACGTCTCAAAGAAAGGGATAACAGTTGTTTCTTAGACTATACTTGCAATCC